ATTTTTTTTAAGCCTACTTACTATACATAAAAGTGTAGTTACGTTAATTTTCAGTGTAATTATTAATTATGTTCTTAAATTAAATATAAGTGAAATGAAAAGTAATTCGGTAAAATTATTTATATAAAAAATAATAGTATTCAATATTTATTTAAATAATTAATATTGTTTTATTGTTTTGGAAACTTTTTTTTTAATTTAAGATTTTCATTTCTTACATAAGAATTTTAATATCCCACCCGCCATTACTATGTTAGCAAAAGTAAGAAAACATTGCACCCGAGCCATATCGACCCCCCCCCTCCTCCTCCTCCGAGCCCCCTCCAGCTTGCTTACGTAACACTTGAACGGCCCCAAATGTGAAAGTAAGTTTTTTTTGTTTGTCCTACTGTCACGCCGAAATAGTGCGACAGATTAAAAAGTTTTTGTATTGACTCGAGATAGTTGAGGGCTAATTAGAGTAGTTTAAGCTACTTTTGGGGCAAAATAGATACACAAAAAATGACACAAAGAATTTCGATTGATATAAGTTATCTCTATGCAATAGAACAACAATAATAATAAATAAATATGTTGACACATTAACACACAACACCATCTAGTTCCATGATAAGCTTACAAGGCTTGTGTTATGGATACCAGATAGTTGATACACTACACATATATAACATTAAATACATACATATTATAAATGTAAACACCCATGACTGGAGTAGACACATCCGTGCTCATCACACAAATGAATGCCTCCAGCAGGACTCGAACCCGCGACCGCAGGCACAGCAAGTAGGGTTACTACAAACTGAGCCAAGAGAAATGGGCAGCGAGGTGATGGTAGTTTTCTCTGTGATGATAATCAAAAGCCTCAAGACATAATTAAAATACTCCTTATAACTCTATTTAGTTTGGGACGAACCAGTCTGTTATTGTCTTTGTCATTTGAAATGAACTTTTTTTTTACTTTTTGTACTTTTTCAGTACTTATTATGTTACGTAATTAAATAATTCAAGCCACATCCGAAACAAAGGGCAAACAAATAGAAATGCTCAAACGACGCTATCCATAATAATATTATAGATGTAAATAATTCTACCTGTAACCTTTGAGGCTTAAACCGCTGAACGATTTTGATAAAATTTGACAAAAACATAGATTGTATCCTGAGATCGAACTTAGACTACTACTGGTTATCATGCGAAGCCGCGTGGAAAAGCTATATAAATTCTGCTTAAATTTAACCACAGCAAACATAGATAAAAAAGGGCCAGGATATTAGTCATTATTAACTTTCTTTCAATTGCTAACTTAAAATAAACAAGTAATACTACGAGTATTACTATTAATATTATAAATGTGAAAGTGTGTATGTTTGTTTGTTTGTTTGACAAAACGGAATGACGGATTGGCGTGTTTTTTTGTGTCGAGATAGTTGGGGGGCTGGAGAGTGACATAGGCTACTTTTTACCGCGGAAAATTATCTAATTCCCACAGGAAAACACGTTATAATACAACCCAAAAAAAAATATGTTCAGAATTACTTGAAACTTGGTATTAATGCTCTTCAATAAAATTAAATAAATACTTGTTTCAGCATTTTTAAAAATTCATCCTATAAGGGGGTAAAATATGGGATAAAAGTTTGTATGAAACTACCTTTTTAGAGATTTTTTGTAGTTTTAGCGCGAGTGAAGCCGCGGGTTCTGCTAGTATTAATATATATTAATCGCATAGAGAAAAAAATACTTTCACAATTAACACACAAATGTGTTTCAATATACTCTAATTACTTAATGTAGGGTGAAAAAATAACGTAAGCTTCAAAATGTCAACGAACTAAGGTCCATGATCTTTATTTCAAAATCTTTTGATCTTATTATCCATTACCAGTTGTTGTGTAAGCAAACAGTCTTGACCCAATATGTTAATAAATAATATAATACATATATTCTATAAAATAAACTTAATTATGATTATCAGAAAAACAGTGTAACTTGAAAATTAAGCAATAGTATAAAAATCGGTCAAGTGCGAGTCGAATTCGCACATGAAGGAAAAGTAATGTACATTTTATTAATATGACTTTTTCTATGTCTATACTAATATTATAAAGAGGTAAAGTTTGTGAGTTTATGAATTTTTGACGTTGTAAGAATCTCTGGATTTACTGAACTGATTTAGATGACATTTGGTAAGAAGATAGTTTGAGACCCTGGGGAGGACATAGGATACTTTTTATCCCGAAAATCATCCCTTAAGGGGGTGAAAATGGGGATGAAAGTTTTCATTTTGAAGCAAGCTAGACTCGAGCGAAGTGAGGGTGAGTCGCTAGTATATTCTATAAAATTATAATTAATTATGATTACCATAAAAACAGTGTAACTTGAAATTTAGCAATAGCATAAAAATCGGTCAAGTGCGAGTTGAATTCGCACACGAAGGGTTCCGTACCATCGTACATGTACTTTGTATTAATATGACTTTTACTCTATGTATGTAGTATATTAACTTCGATGATCAATAACGAACACTAAAAAAATGTATATTGTATTTTATTTTTATTATTTGTTGTTATAGCGGCAATAGAAATATGTACTTACTCTGTGAAAAATTCAACTCTATTACTTTAATATTTTCTTTAATATTTATTTAGATTTTTGGTTCCCGACGTCTCGAATGCTTTACAGCAATCATGGTCACGGGAGAAACTAAGATTTTGGACGTCTCAAAGGTTACTATACATAGTTGTTATAGACAGTATAAGCATGTTCCGAAAAAATCATTAAAGCCTTTTTTATCAACAGACTTCAAAAAAGAGGAGGTTCTCAATTCGACTGTATGTTTTTTTTTTTATTTATCTTTGTTACCTCAGAACTCCGTCATTTATTAACCGATTTGGACAATTTTTGTTTTGTTTGAAAGGGTATACTTCCAGATTGGTCCCATTTAAATTTCAAAAAAAAAATACCACCCCTAAGGGTGGAAAAACAACTAATTATGAATTTAACCTACTTCTAATTGTCATATTGACTTGAAACTTTGCAAGTATTTCTATTTCCGTTGATAGTACAGTGGTTCGGTGTTGTTGACCTGATCTGATGGCAAGGCCAGAAGGTGGATAGGTGGAACTCTTCAACGGCTAATAGTAGATACTTTGAGTTTGGGCTTATTTTGTTTGATTTGACAAGCCTAACACGTTAGAATCCTCACTTTGCTACTACTGTCTACACTAAAAAGGGAAAAATAAAAACTTTTGAACAAAAAAATAAAAACCGACTTCAAACAAAAGCACTAAAAAGTAAAAAATAACTGATTGGTAGTTTTCATTTACTATACATACCTAATCAAATATTTTCGAAGTCGGTGCCAGCCCATACAAAGCAAAGCACACCGACTTCGAAAATATTTGATTAGGTATGTATAGTAAATGAAAACTACCAATCAGTTATTTTTTACTTTTTAGTGCTTTTGTTTGAAGTCGGTTTTTATTTTTTTAATAGATGTCAAATATTCGCGTAAATCTAAGAAAGTAAATCGACAGTTATTAGTAAGACTTGCTGCTAATCCGCGGTTTTGTTTCAAATGACTAGGGAATGAAACCTAATTATAATATATCTAAAAGTACCGTTTTGCGGCTATGAATCATATTCTGCGTGCTACCAACCTTTGCTATATGTTGCCTAATACCGCAATTTGATAATAATCGTTTCCCATATTAGCAATGTCATTCAACTTGCGGTATACACTGTTGACACGTAAACCTTATTATATTTTATACTAGCTATTCCTGCGACTCTGTCTGCCTGTTTGTATTGGCATCCATGGTGCCTCCCTAATAACGCAGTAACGTAGTGACGTAGATTCTAGCAGATCAAATATAATTATTTTATTTGAGGAAATATAATTTTATTTCATTTTTTCATGTTTTTTTAATTTTTACCCGACTTCGGCAAAGCGCAATGGAGGGTTATGGGTTCGAACTGTATATAAAAATGTATTGCATTTTTATTTTATTTTTATAAAATACTAGCAACACCCTCGCTTCACTCGGGTGCATCCCTAGGTGCCATTTAATTTTACAGCGGAATTATTTTTCTGAAATAAAAGTTGCCCAAAATTACTTTTATATCAGCTATCTGCCAGTGAAAGTCCGGTTAAAATCAGTACAACCGTTTCGGAGATTATCCGGAACAGACAGACACAAATTAAAAAAAAAATTTTTCCTTATAAGTACCTACCTTAAATTAATTAATATGCATTTAGTAAAAATCTGATATTTTGATATTACAAACAGACACTTCAATTTCATTTATCTGTATAGATTTAATATCCAAACAACTTTAACTCTGTTACAGATTAATTATACGGATTTATTTACCTTAACAATAAAGTCTTAACGTCTAAATGGTAAAATAAAATGTAACTTATTTTTAAAAACAATTGCATTTTTAATTAGATTAATTATTTTTTATGCTAAACGGTAAATCTTTAAATAGAGCATCATTGTTCTAAACACAACAGATTTTCCTTGCTCACCTCTCACTCATTTTCTATTCAATGTTTCAAGGTTCATTTTTAACAATACTTTTGTTAGCATTGTTAAGAGATTTTTGTTGGTTATTACGTAAAAAGCATTTCAAAAAACATAAGCTAGCTATAATTACTCATTATATAATAAGACATCCCCGTATAAGTAAACATAAATATTATTATGAAACAACACAATGACTGTTTTACTATCTCACTTTTCTTTCACAGCATCACCAGTACACCTCTCCCAATACTATATTTGTTAAAATGAGTATATTTCCTAGCTTTCTTTTTTTTTTATTTCATATAAAAAATGCTTCAGATATTTTAAAACATAAAGGTATTTGAATTAAAACCTTCTTCTAATATCAATAAATATGTAAATTCCCTAAATACACATTGTCTTAAGAAAATTCTTCCTCAAATTCACCAAAATGAATGAAATTATGGTTAAAAGTTGGTAATGATTTACCTTCTCCATCCAGTCATTGGCTTCTTGCGAAGATCTTCTTCACTCAGCCCATAAAGACCAATGCAGGCGAGGAACCACGCAGTGACGATCAAGTAACATATCACGATTACTCGAAAAGGTAGCAGAATAACAGTGAATATCGCCGTCTGAAAAACAAATAAAATATAACACACGCCATATCAGACTAAGATTATATATGCGAAAGTTTGTATGTGTATATGTTTGTAAGTTTGTTACTTCTGTTACTCTGGAAGGGCTGAACCGATTTGGATGAAACTTAGAAAACAGATAAACTAGGCCCTGGAGTAATACAGAGGCTACTATTAGGCACCTACTACTTAGGACACAACCGGGTGAAGCCAGGAGTACTTGCTAGTTTTTCGTATACATATTATACTAGCTCCGCTCTAGCTTCACTTACATCTTAGCAACACTCCGTTTCTGCGTTTTGTTTACAAATACACTAATATCAAAAAAACCAATAACAATGATAAACTAGATTTACGCCACTCTCCGGCCTATAATTCTAATAATTCGGACAACCTCTTGCTCCATTGCAGTGTGAAAGAAGGACAGGGCAAGTCAAGTGAGCAATAAACACAATATCACATTTTTAATAAATATCAAGTCAAAGTATTAAGCTAGAAAAATATACCGAATTTTTATTTAATGCCTAAATGTACATAATAGAAAACAGAATATTTTAACATTGAAAATGTTTTTATTGTCGCTTCTGTATAGGCCCGATTTTCAGCGAAACCGCGATATCGCCTCGGTGTCGTGGGTTTTGGCACAACGTGGCTGATTGGGATGTCAAAAGATGCATCTCAACGAGGGCTATGAAGTGCAAAATAAATTGTTGAAGAAACTCATTTTTTTTTCTAAATCGTAAAAATGAAATGTGAAATATGCGGTCGTTGTTCACCCGGTTTTGGTCAGAAAAAAAATCATATCTCGAAAACGAAGTAAGGTATCGAAAAAAATAAATCAAACCCCTAGACACGCCGGCGTTACAGTTAACAATAGATTTCTTTGAATTTTAATTAATTTCTTAGAAATTTACCTGGAGGTGACATTTTGATATATGCACATGCAAGCGACTCACTCTCGCTGCGCTTCGAGTTCGTTCCTAGACAAAACAAACCTATCCCACGGGAACCGTACATTTTTCCGCGATAAAAAGTTATCTTCGTGCTATTCTAGATCTATCTCTGTGGCAAATTTCATCTAGATCCGTTCAGCCGTTCTGGCGCGAAAGAGTAACAAACATCCGGATCGATAGATATCCATCCTCAACTATCATATTTATAATATTAGTATGGATGCAGTTGTACTAATAGCTAGCAACTTTGCAATCACTTTATTAAAGTAAGAATACAAAAGTATAAATGGATAACTTTGTACGTAACGTAAGAATGTTATTCGTATTAATTATTATTATATGTACTGAAAACTAATACTTTTTTTTTTCAACAAGCCAATGACCAGCGGCCCGTAGAGGTTGTTTAAATTATAAAACGGCAAATTGGTCATTAATGGATTGGGCCAAGGCTGAAGGTTACGGACTGCCACAAGGTCCGCTAACAAAACAACACAAAAATAAAATTAGATTTACATATTTTCGAAGTATTTAATTTAGTGAGTTAAGTTGTGAAATGAAAAGTGAATGAATGAACATCATCAATTTCTTCCATATTATAAAAGAATCTTTTACTTATATATGTAAATATTTCTCTACAGCGAACATTTGCTATTCAAAAACGAAAGAGAAGGCTCATGTCCAACAACAATGAAACCGTAATGCCGGGTCCACACGCTTGCATTCGCCACTTTCAAATCTCTACAAACGCACAAACGTGTGGATGCATCACAAGCACTTCCCGCAAATTTCCTTTGATTTGTGCACAAGTACCGACACGATCGGAACGGGCACAAGCGGCCACGGTTATAAATATAATAATGGCAACACTAAATATAGATTACTAATTAATATTTTTAAAATTGTAATAATTATAATGATAACAGCAAAAATTAAATAAATAATATTCCATATTCAATTATAAAACTACTTAAAATTATAAAAATATTTAAAGTTATAAAATATTGTAAGGTACTTGGTGTAATTTTTCATTTTATTATTTATAGGTAGGCTGTCTGTAACAACTATACCTTCGAGACATCTAACACCTCAGTCTCTCCCGTGACCATGATTGCTGTAAAGCATTCGAAACGTTCCGAAAAGATAGTTTTATTTAAAACTAGCATTGCCCGCGGCTCCACCCGCGTTAATATGACCAAAACAAAATTCTTAGGTTTTATATATTAGTATACTCGTATGAGTATATTAGTTGACCCGGATAACCAGCTATTACCATACCATATTTCTTCAAAATCCCTCCAGTGAATTTTCTGTGATGCGGTCACAGACAGACAGACACAAAAATTCTTAAAACTATATGTTCGGCCTCTGTTAGCGATAATAATGTGTATTTCAATAAAATTTTCCAAAAAATATTTAAAGCACAGATACTGCTTCATTAAATTTTAATGTATCTATAGATGTAACTAATTTATAAAGCCAAAAAGATTGTTTTTTGATCATTTAAACACGGGCGGGCCGCGGGTAATTTAGTAGTAATCCTAATAAAATCATAGAAAGGTCGAATTTGCACATTCAATTTTTTGGAATTAAAACTACGTATTTTAAAGACACATGGCGACAGCTATTGACGAATATCTAAATAATACAAAAATTAATTTCATTAAAATAATTTTTTTAATGAATAAAATAGTGCTATTGACATACTTTTTCAAGATTAGCTATTTTTAATAGTTTTTGACATATTTAATAAGTTAACTTGCTAAAATCTTTATACTCGTAGTATCATCGTTTTTCATTCTAATCAGTTTTTGTATTTTTTCTCAGAAATGAGATATTTTTCTGCGGTAAAAAGTATCCTATATGTTGACCCGGATAATCAGCTATGACCATACCCAATTTCATCAAAATTCGTCCAGTAGTTTTTCTGTGAAAGAATAGATAGACTATAATAAGTCTGTTATATACCAAGATATACTTAATATATTTTTTCTAACTTAACTTCTGATCTTTTCGATTTTCCAGCTATTAATTTTATCTATTAATTTTCCAGATATTAATTTAAGAGACTAACGAACAGAAATTGATTTTTATATAAATAGATTATATGTATTGTATAGATATACTTAACGACTATAACATTAATATAATTGAACCTTCAAATGCCAAAAACTAAATTCTTAAATTTTTAATTTTACGTAATGTTTTCTTACTTCAGAAGATTCAAAAAAATCTTTGGAATTGCTCCAAAATAGCGGTCTACGTCACCAGATTTTTTAGTGCAATGTGCACTTAAAAATATTTTTACAACTAAAACACATACCTGTTGTTTTATGTTTCCATAAATTTGTATTATAATAAATTATTTATGTTTTAGGTACACTTGCGTCAACTTTGTTTATAGATTAATCAATCATACTAAATAAGATAAACTTTGATCGTTAGAAACTTACTTTAGGTATGACTGATTAATGATCTTTTATAAAGTGATCGATACGATAATGCTTTTAAATAAGTATACTTTAAACTTTCTCTTCATATGCTCCACATCTTCATCATACCTAGAATTCTCAGAGATATTTTCCCGTATTAAAACTAGCTAACACTATACTCATCAAAATCTAACTAGCTATCACTATACTTATCAAAATCGTCCAGTGGTTTTCTTATGATGCGTTCTTAGACAGACATACAGAAAAAATCTAAAAACCGTACATTCAACCGTCCATCTGTATCGATAATAATGACTATTTCAATAAGATTTTCTAAAAAATATTTAATGTATTCGACTCAGTTAGAATTTTATTATATGTTACACATATTATTAAAATGAAATTACTTACATATGACTCAGATTTTCAATTAAATTTTCCTATATTAAATTAATAATACAAGCAAAAGTCATAAGTTTCTATAAAATGTTTTAAATTATGCATTTTACAATTATGAATTTGTATCATCATTAATATGCCCTTTATATGACATGAAACACTTAACAAAAAGGTTGCTTTTTAGTAAAAATCCACTATGAATCCACCACGCGCGAAAAATATATTATTACTTCGCAATACCATCTCATATTTAAAACCCAAAATGAACGTCAAATTGTAAATAGCCAACCTCTTTTTACCTTTTTATCTTTTTATCTCTTTTTCAACACAAAGCATTGTATGAGCTGAAATTGAATTTAATTTTAAATGAGTTCATTCAATTTACTAAACATTACAACAAAAACCTTACAAGCCGCTAGAGTCCATTCATAAAATCTAACATAGCCTTCAAAAATCTATTCCGCACAAGATGCAGTTATTTTTAATGTCTATTTGCTCTTCTTTATATTATTGGAGTACAATTTATTTGTTCCTTTATCTACATTAATAAAGTAAAATTTGTAAGTTTATGAATTTGTTTGTAATGGATAAACTAAAAATCCGCTGAACCGTTTTAGATGAAATATGGTATGAAGTTAGTTTGAGACCCTGGGAAGGACATGGGATAGTTTTTATCCCGGAAATCATGCCTTAAGGGGTTGAAGAGGGGGATGAAAGTATACATGGGGAATCAATCCATTCTCAATAAGGGATAAACTCATGGTAGCTACGTATTATAACTATTAATTATAGGTTATATGAGCAGAATAAGAAGACTAATGTTAAAATATGTATATAAGTTTTCATTCTCCGTATGAATAGATAAAAATTTTGTAAAATGTATAAATAGGCAAACTCAAAATTAAAACAGTTCAGGACTATTTTCTCCTCAATTTGTCACACACACACACCCTAAAAAGCCTAAAAACACACTCTAAAAAGTATCAAAAGTGCTTAGGTGTTGTATACTACGATATTAAATTAAACGTATAAGCCGGCTAAAAACTTTTTGACTATCTATTGACCGACGTTAATTACGATTATGAATAAAAAAACTAATATTATTAATAACACTTTGTTTTCTAAATGTTTTTCTTTATGTGATGATTTTAAGATACGTTTGTTAAGCTTTTTTGAAAAAAATACTTAAATTAATCACAGTTAATATTTTAAAAAA